GAAATATACCACCTCTGCTCCAAAAGTTGTGGATGTTCCATCACTGGAGGGTTTTAAGGAAGAAACTAGACAGCCTCTTGACTGGAATGGTATTGGTTATAGGGTCTTCTGCTTGAGCAGAGTATTGGGCTAGGAGACCTCCGAGATCCCTTGCAACTCTGTCATTCTGTTCTTCTCACTGTCCCACATCCTAACCCCTCGTTCTGAATCATCACTGCCTCATTCTTTCGCTGGTGGAATCTGACTGGTCTTGTAAATGAATATTTATGAGTGCCAGAAAGGAAATAAAATAGACATTTTGGACTTGCTAGGATCCTGCAGGTCTGTGCTTGTTCCCTTGTTCATAATTTTGGAGCAAAGAGTGGGTGAGATGGCCCAGATTTATTCAAATTATTCGAAGTACTTATTTTCCTTAAAAGAAAAGAAAAGGAGAGACGTAAGAAGGCAAAACTTTCTTGATTTGGGTTTTGGTTGAATTTTTCCCTGATTTTCTTTTTTTTTACATTATCCAGAATTAAAAATTGTGAGAAGGACCCAATCCTACTGCATTGGTCATCTACATTGCATAGCCTACCAGCATATTCAATTCATTCAATCAACAGGTAAAATTATTAATGAAGAAAGGATGCAAACAGGAAGCCAATTCATGAATCCAGTTGATCAAGTTGGCTGGCTGAACATTAGGGTCCATTATAGGCCCAGGACTTACTTTAGATCAGGAGTATCCAGCCTTGGCAACTTTTAAGACTTGTGGATGTCAACTCCCAGAATTCCCCAGCCAGCATGTCTGACTGGAGAATTCTGGGAGTTGATGTTCACAAATCTTAAAGTTGCCAAGGTTGAACACCCTACAAATACTTGGGAAAACCTCTATTTGGTGAGCATTTTTCTGGGTTTGGAAGCTGAGACATTAAAAATCCTCTCTTCGAATTGGAGACATGACCGCGTGGAAACAAAAGTTGTTTGAAAACTGAGCTGGGAACAGTTTAAATTAGAAATGTTGCTGAGTACAAGTGGCATCTTACATTGTCTGCTCTTTTTCCTTTTTGCTGACTTGGCCAATTGGGTAACCGAGTTGTTCTTTATAAAAAAAAAAAAACCATAACAACGCAAAGCCAACGTCATTTAGGTCAGGGCATGTTTTCTGTTTGCAAGTCATGCACACAAAATTATTGACTAACTTGGCACCCTTCTGATAGGCAAGAAGAGAGAGAGATACATTTCATGTACTTAAGTCTTCAGAGATTCTTCTTCCCGCATTAATAGCATGTATTTTTGGTGGCCAAAGGAAAAGGACTTTTATAACTGTCATGTCGTTATTGCAAAAAAATTGCCCTGCTTTTTAAGGCAAAAAAATGGTATGAAGGGGGCTGTGTTTTCTGTATGTGTGTTTTTATGGGAAAATAGCTCCAAAACAGACTGAAAACAACACTGTGATTTTAATTGGATCACTAGAAAAGTGGCTTAGAAGCCTTCTAGTGAGCCTGTCTGAAGCTTGGCCAAGCTCCCTTATCTATAGCATCTTTTGCTGTTATCTACAGACCAAATCTTTGCATGGTGAAGAGATAAGTTGGGCTGGAGATAGTTGGTAGCTTCCTATGTAAAGTTCATACCCCTGAATCCTGAGAAACAGGAAGAGAGAATGTGTAATAAGACATGAACCAATGAGAGTTGACGAGACAATGGGAGATTCAAAAACTTGGAAGAGTTTCTGGACTTGGAGAGCTATTAAGCAATGGAACATCTCCATGACTCTGGAAAGAGAAGAGCAACAAAGATGATTAAGGGAGAAGGCTAAAACATATTGTAAAGTTCAGCTATAACTTAAGATCACGCTGTGCCAAAAATGAACTTAAGCAGAGGCTTTGAAGAACAAAATCTAACTTTTATTGATCAATAAAAGGGTAAGACCTCTCCTCTCATACACACAGATATGTGAGGAAAGTTACAAAGCATATAGGTGAAAGTAACTCTTCTTATACCTTAAGATTTTTTTAGAAGTAGAGTAATTGCATTGTAAAACACTCCAAGTTAGATTTACATCTTTCCTGCAAAAAGACAAATGTCCCCCTGGCGCTTGTTTATTTTTCAGTATCCTTTCTCCTATTGTCTGTTAATCGATCACAATTTACCATTTAAGAGGGTTATTAACAGCATACTTCAAAAGGTGTATATTGCTCCAGATGTAGGGAGTTAAGTTCCCAGGGAGTATGTTTCATTCAGATTGATTTAGATGGGATAATCATGTGTCTTCATAAGAGAGAGATGTAAGTAATTGCAGGCATGTGTTATTATTAGTTTTACAATACCAGTGAAAGGTTAAAGAAATGTTTTCTACAACAGCAAGGTAAGAAATGCCTATAGAGATAAATACTTCTGCATATATAAGAAAACATCTGCCTAACATCAAGATAAGACATGCCTATAGAGTAACTCTCTACTTAATGCTATAATATATTTTATTTCGTTCCTTAATTTATTACCCTAACAATATGAAGAATGATTGCAGAAATTGGGTATGTCTAATTTGAGGAAAAGAAGGACTGGGGTGACATGAGAACAGTGTTCCAATATCTGAGGAGCTCCCACAAAGAAGAGGGGATCAAGTGCTATTCTCCAAAGCACTTGAAGGCAGGACAAGAAGCAATGGATGGAAACTAATCAAGGAAAGAACCAATGTAGAACTAAGGATACATTTCCTAACCATGAGAACAATTAATCAGTGGAATGGCTTGCCTCCAGAAATTGTGGATGGTCCATCACTGGAGGTTTTCAAGAAGAGATTGGGCTGGGATTTGCCATATAGGATCTCCTGCTTGAGCAGGGATTGGACTAGAAGATCTCCATGGTCCCTTCCAACTCTGTCATTCAGTATTTTCCCTCCTATCTCCCTCTTTGGAGTTTCAGTTTAAAATGTAAATTAAATGGGTGATTTCTAAAGTAATAAACGAAAAAGCATCTGAGGGCCTTAAGGTCAGCAGCGTTCCAAGTGATGGAACCGAGGAGAAAGCATGTAATTTTCAGACTTTTATGTGGTGTGCAGGCTAGTCTGATGACTCTTTAAAATTACTCATTGGAGTAATTACTCAAGTTCTGGACAGCTGAAGGATGAAATCAGATCACAACCTATGGTTTTATTGAGAAACATAACATTGTAAAAATTCCTTTTTTGTAGTCATCAGAATCTGTTTGCAATAAATCCTATGCACATGTCTCAAATCCTTACTTTGCTGCGCTATCAAAATCCTTTCCAATAGTTTAATTTTAAGATAAAGGAAAACCAACATGTTCTTTCTAGAAAAGTTCAAGGATTTGTGGTGAGTCATGGTGCAAATAGAAAAATAGGATTAAGGATTAAAGTTATGGCTGCAATCTGGAGGACTCCATAGCCCAGGGCAGAACGAAGGGGCATCTATACATATGATTGGGTGTCAAAATATTCAAGATGGTAGCCTTGATTACCTGATAAAAGTCTGTCTCTTGGTATATGCTTTGTCAATGAATACAGGTAGCCCTCAACATACAATGGTAATGGAGTTTTCTGGTTATGGTCATAATGGTGATAAAATGGGTTGATCATGTGACCAATCAGATTTTATGATCTTTGATCTTTTATTACAGATCTATAAGCAAATCAATGGTTTGCTATGGGCATGGTTTTGTCTCATATGGTTATGGAGGGGTCATGTCATAATCTAGGTCATAAATTCCTTTTTGGGGGGTTAGTTGTGACTTTGAATAGTTACTAAGCAACCCATTGTAAGTCAAGGACCAAACGGATGAGCGAACCTTCAATCAAATAGTCATGATTGACATTTTGGGAGGATACCTCTGCTTTGAGCATCTTGGTTAGACTTCCACAGTAATGGAAGACAACGTCTTGGTGTTAGTACCGTTGTACCTCTGCATAAAAAAACGTAGAATTATCAACTTATATTTTGTTTCAGACAACAAAAAGTTTGGAGTTGGCCAAAATCAGACAAAAATCTATTCATTTACTTCTGTGCTCTCCTTCCATTAGTTGCTATTCAGTTTCAGAATAATCGGAAGCTGAGCAAAATAATAACAATACTAATTTCACTAACTTCAGAGTTAAATTGTGCAAGCTCCTTTTAAGCTGTTACAGCTACTATTTTATGTTGATAGTTTGTCCTTTATTGGTCTAATGTTTTTCAAAGATTTTTAAGCAAAGTATGACATCACCCCTTATGGTTTCCTTACTAAATTGTTGTTACGTGTTTCCATGCACCTAAAACATCAATATAGTAAAAAAAAATATTGCCTGTCTAGCTGTAAATAAAATGCATTGTTTACCCATTCTGCTTGCGTCAGGTTGGGTTTTTTAATATATACTTTTGATTAAAAAATTTAAAAAGGAGACTAAAAAACAACAAGGGCTAATATAAAATGAGGAAAGGAAAGAAAAAAGAAATCAAAGAAAAAGCTAAAAGTACAGAAAGAAACTATGAAACTTCTTGCTGTTTTTTAATTCTTTCTTTTTGCATCAGGCTGGTTTCAAAAGTTCTTACCCAAACAGGTAGCAGGTTTAGCAAGTTTTGTGATTAATTATTATTGTTATTTTAGTCTGCTTAAGATATGGCCAACTGAAAAGCTTTGGAATGAGCTGATTCATTCACTCCTTTAGAGTTGTTGTAACTGATTGCAAATTCCATGCAGTTTTGAGATTGACACTTGGTGTTTCTGAGTTAAGAGGAAGCCAGGAAGTGAAATCTGTGTTTCTTTGCCTAGATGTAGCATATATGTCTGGCCCAAATAACCAGGGACATTTGCTGAATTCAATGCGCAGAAGTGTTTATCATTGCTACCTATACACAAGAATCTGGTCAAGGTTAAATAGTCTCTAGATAAGAGTCAACAGAAATTCACAGGGAGCTGGAATGGGAAAGATTCCAAACTGATGACATGTTTAACCCCACCCTCAATCTCAGCCTGCTTTTCTCCTGCAATATCATTGAAATTTGTCCCTTTCTTCTTCCTAGGCAGTAGGAACGGATGTGCAATTTGGCCCTATGAGACTCCACCGAGAACAACTTCAGGTAAGCCTCTGTTAAAGATGCATGTTTTGGTTTGTCCAGGAATTGGTTACCTAAATGAAGAAATGCCTGTACATTTATTGCAGACTTCTTCAATATCAGTTTCAGCTGAAGTGTTTTCATAGCATCCTATAGTAAAAAGGAATGGAACAAAGCCTGGTAAAATGTGCCTTTTAGAGCAATATTCACAGCCCATTTCACTGAGTATTGAGCTAATAAAGAGAAATCCTGAATTAAATTGGGGCATTTGTGCAAGCGCACATATGTATCAGTTATACGTAGGTATGAATTGTGAAATTTATTGTCATTCTAGCAGGTTTAATCCAAAGTGTAAACCTAGTCAGAGTGTGTCTGTGTGTGTTTGCTCACACACATAAACACATTCTGCCTTCAGGTAGGTGTAAATGTTGAGATTTATTGACATTCCAGCAGCTCTAATCCAAATATAAGCACAGTTGGAATGCCTGGAATTGCTTAGAAGTATGAACTAAAGCTAAGAGTTGCTTGGAGAATATTCGACTTAGCTGAATATTGAAAAGGTGCAAAGGCATCAGTGCAGGCATAGCCTAGGTAATTTTGATGGTTATGCTGACAGTGGCCATGCCAGCAAAATGTCAGAAGCTGCCTTCTGCTGGGATAAAGTACAGGCAGTCCTTGACTTACAACAGTTCATTTAGTGACTATTCAAAGTTACAATGGCACTGAAAAAACTGACTTATTACTGTTTTTCACACTTATGACCTTTGCAGTAGATGGATGGGTGGATGGATGGGCAGACAGATGGATGGATATCCTGCCTTTCATGTACAAGAATTAAGATGACTTACATAGTCCTCTCTCCACTTATTTTTCCCTCTCAACATAAAGGGAGCTTTGTAGCTAAGGCAAGTCTAGAACGCTAGAAGTCTAGAACAGGTTTTTCTATTTCTAGTCCAGCATCTAACTATTTCTAGTCACTACCCCAAACTGGCTCGCTCATTTATATGTTGTGATTGTTGCTCTTTTCATTTTTTAAAAAGTTTTCTTTACTTTGATTTCACTTTATTTCTGTGTCTGTTTGATGGATTGTAAGGGTAGGCCATGATTTGTAGGTCTTATATGTGTTCATTTGATGAGCCATGGTGGCACAGTGGTTAGGTACTGCAGGCTAATTCACTGTTGACTTTCAGGAGTTAAATCCTGACCTGCTCAGGGTTGACTCAGCCTTCCATCCTTCCGAGGTCGGTAAAATGAGGACCCAGATTGTTGGGGGTAAGAGGCTGACTCTGTAAACTGTTCAGAGAGGGCTAGTTTAATGAAAATCTCAGGACTGTGTGGTGGCACAGTAGTTAGTTAGTATGCGGAATTGCAAGCTAATTCTGCCCAAAGCCTGGAGTTTGATTCTGACTGGCTCAAGATTGACTCAGCCATCCATCCTCATTCGGTAAAATGAGGACCCAGATTGTTGGGTCTGTAAACCATTTAGATACGGCTGTAAAGCACTGTGAAGCAGTATATAAGTCTAACTACTATTGCTATTATAAACATCTTAATAAGGACAGGGTCCATGAATCAATCAAAGTTATGTGCAAGGGATTTCAGATTTTTTTTATAAGAGTCTTTTTCCATCTCTCTCTTTCTTTCTGTGATACATACATGTATGTCCAGGCCCATTTCCCCATCTTTGTTTTCCTTTAATTAGGTACTCTTAGTGTTTGCCAAAGAAGACAACCAGAGCAATGGGTTCTGCTGGGCTTGTGAAAAAGCAGGCTACCGCTGTAGCATTGCCAGGACACCTGAATCTGCCCTTGAGTGTTTTTTGGACAAACATCATGAAATCATCATTATTGATCACAGGAATTCGAGATACTTTGATGCAGAAACGCTGTGCAGGTGCGTCCTTTTTTTTTTTTGCAATCAACCTCTTGTAATATGGGATTCACTAACCAGCCAGGTCATGATGCCCTGGGGATGTTTGATGTTTGGCATCTGGCCACTCCTGGTGCAGAGATCATTTTGTGAGAGGTTAAATCCTTCCCCGGCTCTCAGTGTTTCAGATGCGTTTACGTTCCAAATAAGGTTGGAGGCATGTGAAGCCTTCCCTTTATCATCTGACTTTCATTCAAGAGATCAGTGGCATACCTAAGGCTCCAGGGAGAACAATTAATCAGTGGAAAAAAGCTTGCCTCTCACTGGAGTTTTTCAGAAACAGACTGGACGGTTATTTGACCGGGATGGTATAAGATCTCCTGCCTTGAGCATGGCATTGGATTAGAAGACCTTTGAGGTTTCCTCCAAGCCTATCAGTCTATGTTCTCCTTTTTCCAGTTTTCCCAGCAGCTCACCCTGTAAGTTAGGCTGGGCAACTAACTGGCTCAGTCACCCCCAAAAACTTTTGTGTCTAAGGACGGACTAGAACTTGGGTCTTCCTATCCTAGCTCAAGACTTTCATGACTACATCACACTAATTCTCAACAGTTCCTTGACCTGTCTTAATGGTTGGGTATTTTTCTTCCAATTTAAACATGTATGAACCTCAGTGAAATATTCCTGTGTTGATTTCAAGCATGTTGTGGAACCCACCACAATTTCTTTACCTTCCCTTTTTTATTTTTTCAAAAGGTCCATTAGAACAACAAAACCATCTGAAAACACTGTTATTATTGGGGTCGTGCGGAGGTAAGTGTGGAAATATTATTACAGTATCCGATTAAAATATAGAGGAAGGCAAAAAGGGCAGGCTTGGAAGCATGTAACTGCAAATCAAGACCCATTCTCCCTGATTTTTACTGACATTTAGCTGACTACGTAGCTGCGGAGCCTGGCCTTTTGAATGTTAGGAATGGGGCTGGTAGGCAGAGAAGACAAAAATAGAGTGACTGGAGATACTGTAATTCAAGAAGGGATGTGCAGCTGTGGGTGGAGCCACGTGTGATGGAAGAAGGCCCCGTGTCTTCTGAATTGGGTGTCTGCTAAAATATGAGAGTTGGGGGGGAAAGGACAGTGATTTCCCCCACCTACTACAAGATGCTGTTGATTACAGTCAGGCACAAAGAACCAGAATGACACCTTGAGCTGGTCAGAGTTGCTTCTTTATTGCTGCCTGCCTATTTACAAGAATCTCACCAGACTGATTACATTCTCTTGGGAACAGCAGGCAGGTAAACAAATTCAGGAATTCTCAGGCAGAGAAGGGGTGCTGTGGCCTCCATCTCTTCCTTCCCTACAAGGGCTCCAAGCTCACCCGTCTTTTCACGGGGAAATTGAAGGATTTCTATTCCTTGGAGACAGCTAGTCATTTGCATTCTTTTAGAGAGTCATTGAAGCCACTTCAGAGGTTTATCTGTGACCTCCTTGTTGTTGTTTAGTCGCTGACTTGCGTCCGGCTATTTGCAACCCATGGTCCATAGCACGCTGTCCTCCAATCTTCCCCAGTTACACATTGGACACTTTTACTGATATTGGACCACTTCTGACCTTCAGGAGCTCATTTTCTGGAGTCCTATCTTTTAGGCAATGATCCATGAAGGAGATATGCCTCTAGTCTCTTAAAATATTTGGTGCCCATGCAGATAGGTAAATAAAGCTATCCCCTCTAAATTGTTCTTGCATGCTGTTTTCCACTAACTCTACAATTGCACCTCTTATCTTACGTTCTCTTGAAACTTTCCTCCCTCCGTACTCAAAGCCAAGGGCCGTTGACTTCCAAGCCAATGGCACAACTTTCCATCAAAGCATCCTGTTTGCTCCAGCTGGGGATAATTCACGGTGATCTTGTTTTCATAAATAGGGATCTGTGGCATTCCTCATGTTGATTGCAGTGACTTAGCATCTGTATGTATTTTAGAATATGCACCCCTTTGAAAAAAATCTGCCATTCTTGTGAAACACAGAGCATTTGCTGCCAAGCTAAAAGTTCTTCTCTGGCCAAGTACATTTCCAAGTTCAAATCCTGGCTGAGAGAAAAAATATATATGTATCTGATTTTAGGGAGTAAAAAGTAGCGGCTGGGAAAGTGTTTAATATTTTCTCCTGTCTTCTCTGCTAGCGCTCCTGATCTTTGCTTTAATACTGTTTGGGTGTGATTATTTGAAAAGAAAATATGGAACTGTTACTGTCTCATAGCTGTGATTTAAGCAGAGAGGCTAGAAAAGTTATGAATTTAAAAGGCTGGTGCAGTGGGAGAGACCGTTTAGAATAATCGCATTGGAGTATTTGATTTTGCAAACCGGTGCTAAGCATAACAGCAGCCTGCAAAGGAGAGCAAAGCCAGAAGAAGGGAAGAGAGTCCATGGGAGGGAATAGACAGAGAAGAAAAAAAAGAACTTCCATTATCCCACATTCAAGCAAAAAGAAAAGAATTCTATGGACCTCTGTTCTCCTCTAAATTGAAGGTCTGTAGCCTTTCAAAAGCCATGGAATTTTAAAGTTTGAAAGACTTCCGTTTATTTACTAGTGATCTGAGACACAGCCTCTCATCTGCAGAGATGAATATTTCAAGGATGAACCAGGAAAATAAAATCCTCTTAACATCTTTCTGTTCTTCCTTTTCTTCCCACCAGACATGCAGATCGTGAAGAGTTATCATTATTGCCTTTTCTTTCTGCAGGCTTCACAAGGGTAGGTCTACTTATTTATAGTCATCTTTTCCTCTCTCTTCTCTACCTGCCCTGCTTCTGTGTGTGTGTGTTTGTGGGGGGG